CATTAAGTTATTTAAGTTTAGGTCAATTGGTTTTTAGGTCAATAGAGCCGCACCCGAAATAAATGTGTTTTTGAGTTAAACCTCGTGTTTGTTCTCAAATCCACAATCAGATATGATCTGACTGTGAACCCGCTTTGAGTCCACAGGAGGTACGCCACTGTTTCAGAGGCAGCGGTCGGTCTCTGTGTTTCGCCACTAATTGTCCCGGAGTTCGGCGAACCGGGAGTTACCGATTAGTCTCGGCTCTTCTGACCGGCCGTTACGGTACGGTAGGGCAAACCGGAAGTTCTTTCGGCCAACCTCTTGGACCGGAGGTTTCAGTCTTTGGAGGCACGCGTTCGCGTGGGTTCGGCCGTTGGTCAGAGACTCGACCCTTTGGAAACAAAGTACGAAAACGGAGTGATTATCGGGCGCTCAGTGGCAACGCATCACCCCTTGACTCCTGATAATCGAGGACTTCATGAGAAGTTGTCTCGCTGGAAATAAAAGAGTTTTATTAGGTAGTAGTGAATCTCAATAAAATTAACTCTTTCGAAAAGATTAGAGTCAATTATTTGATGATCAGACATATTTTTAAATACAAAATGAAATAACATGAACATGAACCATCTTTTTCTAATCGTTTAAAATACGATTTTTATGGAATTATTTTCAACAAGGGGGGATTTGAGAATCGTGTCTATTTGTTTAATTGCTTTGGTTTAGTATACCTTTTAAATTTGTATTCTAACCCATTATTGTCATATACAATATATAACCGATATTTTATTGAGCCTATTTCAGTTTTTGAATTTAAGGATTTGTAATAGGACATTCAGGACAAATTGTTTTAATATTACTGTATATATATCCATATATGGATGTATGATATTCAATAGCCGGTTGACATGCCTATACAATTCATACAGCTATATTACAAATAAATAGCATGACTTTTCAATTTGTTAGGTATTTAATGAGCAGTAATTATTGTATCATACATTAACTAACGTAGATACAATTTCTTAAATATTACACGGTTTATGAGACATTCTCAACATGGACAAACTTAGCCATGTTGTACGTGGATTAATTTTTTTTAAACAACCCGGGGGTGAAACACATTCCGCTGAATACGCATTGGACTACCAGCCCTTGCCCGGGGACCGTATGATGAGCGCCTACCCTAAATCCGGGAACTTTTGGTGTATTAATATTGTCCTGTCAATCACGGGTGACATTCACGTCGGACAATATATACCGAGGGATACGTATAGAAAATTATGGCTTGAATCCCGTGACCCCAATGAACCGGTGGATGACATACCGGTGGACATGGATGAGCAGGGCTGTCGGTTCCACGTGACACATCTTAGCATGACATACCTGGCCTATAATCCGGGTGCCAAGTATTTGTTGCTCATGCGTAATCCGAAAGACGTTTGCGTTTCTTACTATCATTATTTGAAACAATTCCATCGATTGGATCTCGATTTTCACGACTACTTTAAGCTGTGGATCACCGGAAAGTACTTCCCGTACAGCGACTACTTTATGGCGATTAAGTCTAGTTGGGAGCACCGGGAGGACAGCAACTGTACGGTTATTACCTATGAGGAGATGTTAGCGAATCCGAGGGACAGTATTGTGAGAATCGCCTCATTCTTGGGCACCAAATATGTGCGCCGACTGTATGGCCGGTGCGATGATGGTGGGCACGGCACCGGTAGTAGCAGTGATGACATCCTATTGGATCGCATTATACGAGAGACCAGTTTTAAGGCCATGAAAAGTAATCACGAGCTTAAGATGCACTTCCGGAAAGGTATTGTCGGCGACTGGAGGGCTGTTATGACGAGAGATGAGAGCGATTTGATTGATGCGAGGGTTAGGGATGAGTGGATGGGAACGGGTTTAGAGACACTGTGGGAACGGGAGATGAGATGGTAAATACATCTTATTAAATACCCCTCCATTAAATGTATCTACGAGTGCGTGTGTACATTGTGCGCGTCGACCAGGACATTTATAATATATTGTAATAGTATATTAATCTAACAATTTATATTGAAAGTATATTTAATTAAATTACATGAAAATATAGAGAATTTACCTGGATTGTTACTACAACATACATTGGTTAATCTTGAAGCCTGTAGTCCAATAATTTAGAAAATTTTATTTATGAGTGATTTGGTGTACTGTAAGCATATAATTGAGAAAATAGTTTCAAATATTTGAACTTATATTGTCAAGTATTTACCCTTCCCTTTATCCTTGACCGGAGCTTCGAATACTTGACCCTGGTCACACTAGCTAATGTATAATCGGACATAATTTATTATTTTATTCTAGTAGATTACAAGCTACTATATACTATTTATTTAATCGATTGTCAATTAAGTTCTAATATTCAAAGTTAACGTTGAATATTTACAAGCATTAATTATAATAAAACAATCTTGGTTATTTATTTTAAAAATAATGCTACTACTTCCGGCAGACATAACTACAGGGCAATCATAAAATTAACAATTTAGCATGCTCCGTTTTTCGATTGAAATATAGCACCGGTCCGGGTAACGCATACTTAATATGCGTTTATATTGCAGGGGGACGTCCGTAAGCGCCGACCTATGGAAGCGGTAGCGTGCGATCAGGTGACACAAATACGCGCTTAATCACGAATAGGCCGAACCGCGTGCCGATACAACTACGACGCCCGGCCCCAAACGGTAGGTACGCGTACGGCACGAGCGTAGGGGCGTTTTCGGGCATAAATCTGTCCGGGTTAAATTTGTAGGGTTCGCTGTAGTACTCCACCTGAATGGTGTATGGCGTGAACCGGGATCTCGATGTGTTGACCCTCTGGTATGGTAATGCCAGTATCGCCTAATATTTTTTTAATTTTGAAATCAACTAGTTAAAATACGTTAAATAATATAAACAATTATTATGTATTGTATTACATTATATTTTGTGTATAATTGTGTCGTTTTGTGGGTGTCATATTAAATTTTATAATTTCATATCATATAAAATCATTTCATATTACATTCAAAACAATCTACCTAGCTCATAATCATTAGGGGCTACTCGCAGTAATGGAACAATAGGTGAATGTAGGCGCAGGGTCTCCGACACGACGGCATCCAAATACGGCAAACGCTCGCACGCCTCGTACGAGCCGTCATTATTGGGACCCACTATTTCGCTGTATAGGCGGCGCTGAGTCGCAGGGTTTAGGACTACTCTGCACACTGGAGCCATTTGGGGCCACACTATGAGTAACAAAACTTTAAACATTTTAACATTAATCTCTATACTGACTAATGTTATAATAGTCACTGTTTGTCACTGTTAATGTGGCCCGGATCACAATGTATGCGCATCGTAGGTTTAGGATCAACTCGAAGATGCAGGCGGTTAGGGTACATGCGGTGCCTGCAATGCCAGCGGTCGAAAAGGCAAACGCCATGGCCAACAGTTCGGTGCTCGTATAAACTGGTATACCTATAGAAGGAGCAGGGTCTTTAAACATGAAATAGTTTAAAATCATATAAAGGGAGAGAAAACCTACTTAACCTAGCCTATTTCTGGTTAGATAAGCTACCCTGTAATCATGGACAACCAATTTTAACTGTCAACAAATTACTTTAACGACTGTACTATATCAAATTTATTACGGGACTTACCCAAAAGGGCTAATTCCGAAAAGATCTAATTTCAAATAATAAACTAACAATTGGTTATTGATTGACATTAGGATAGGACAGGTTAGGTTAGGCCAAGACACATTTTATCAGATTAAAAATATGTCCAATGGTGAGTTAGTTATTTGAGTTTAGGCCTTTTTGGGTAGAACCATTATTACACATACAAAGCATTTATATCCGGACTCGCCCAAAACGCCTACGATTTAAAAGGCCTACTTTTACAAAATTCGAATTTACTTGTTAATTAAAAGTGATAAATAGGTCAAATAAGTTTAATTATGTTTGGCACTCATTAATTTAGTCAACAATTACGTTAAAATAATTTTACATAAATTATTTACTTACCAAACTATGTTTATTTACATTTTTCTAAATTTTAAAAACAATTATGCAATAAATGCTCATATTGTATAAATTACGTCAAATATATTAACGTAATTTATGTAATACTATTGTGCCAGTGTAGATCTCAACTTTGATCCACATTAATAGATTGAAATTAAAAATATTTAGATTTTATGTCAGAGTAGGCCTTTTAGGTAGTAGGCCTTTTGGGGAAGAACCTTTATATCTGAGTTGACAAACGTGGCAGTATTAGTGTCAGAAAATTCATCGCCATATTTTCGTTACCTGTATTGCGTGTGGTAACCTCAAAAAAATCCAAATAATTTTCGTTGCTCAAATTACCGCCCCGCCGCCGCTCAGGTATATATTTACGGAACACATCGATAAGATTAGTCATAACGCGATAGTCGCCTATTGTCGGCCAATTGGTGGCGAACTCGGGCAACCCTACGGACACCAAATTTTTGCGGATATCGATCTGCAGGAATCGGCACAAGTGGGCGGACAGCCTGTTCTCGGGCTCGTCGTACGGTCGCACGTCGATCGATAGGCCGCACGCGGGGTAGACGTTGCAAGAAAACGCTTGCAATAGACGGGCGACGTCTACCACCGCTACCGATCGCGGCTTATCAATAGACGCGCTGTCGTACGACGACTCAGAGGGCACACTCTCGTTGTCCACCATCGCCGACAAGTGGGTGTATATTTGACGAAACTTAGCCCCGGTGTGTCCGGGGCTTAATAGTATCCTAGATTTGTCGTATTGGACCCTGCCCCATATGGCTTTCATAACGAATGCGCATGTTACTGTTATTCGTGTTGATCGCTCGCTGAACACATGGAAATCGGTAATTAGTATTCGTTTTACCAAGGACAAATCGCTAATCGATAATATCGGGACGTTTCCTATGAAGTAACTAATTATTACAATAATTAATGTATATATTATATTAAGTGGTGAGAATGGTGACAGGGTGATTTTAATATAATCTCTATGCGTAATCTTTTATAACACTTATAAATAAATGTTGGCCACCCTACCTGGCTACTGGATTATTTCGATCATTGTGGACATTAGTTTTAGTAGCAAACGCGCAGGTAGCCACCACGTCCATGGTGAAATTGCCAAACATCTCCATGACATTTAATGGTCTACGATCCTGAGCGCAGGCGTCCAAATGGGTCTGTAGGTCGCGTATGCATTGCCTGATGGACGGGTACATGCGTTTCATACGTCCCGTAGTGAAGGCCGGACTGATTATGTGCCTCAGGCGGCGCCACTCGTCCCCACACGCCTGGCCTATATTGGAGGCCATTGTGGGGTCTATGGGTTGACCGACGTTACGGTCAGTAAACGAGTTAAAGTCGCGGATTAGTATGGATTTGATGAGCTCGGGCTCGGCAACCGTGAGCACCGGGCGATGGCCCCGGTAGTAGCTGTAAATATTTATTTTATTTTACCAATGAACTTAGTCAATTTGATTATTAAGATTATGTTGGATGATCTGTATGTAATTTGTTAATTTAATAATGTTAAGTGTAATCATTAAAATTCATTTTATGCTTGTTGTTTTTTTGACTGCATACTGTATTTATGAGCAAGATTTTGAATTTAATCTCTAGATTTATTTATATTTTAATTAACAGTCTGTACTTGATTATTGCATTTTTAAGATCTAATAAATAATCTTGTTTGTTGAAAAATTCACTATATATTGTGTTATACAGTACTAATACCTAAATACCTATGATTTTACTTATTATACTAATATACAGTATAAATATATAAAAATCATTTCCAAAAAATTATATTAATAGTTAAATTGATACTAATTATAAATACCCGTACATTTTGCCATATTTACTGTACCAGTTCACCTCCAGGTGCAGGTGTGGTACTGTAAAAAAGCTCAACACATTACCAAATATTGGTATAGGTGTGGGACCAGGTATGCCTCGACTGGCCCAGTACCTAAAGTCCCGGCTCCATATCCTATTGCAAAACAATTATATAATACAATGTATAATATATTTTATAAATCATTTGTATAAATACCATACGAGATACGAAATAATTAATATAATGCTAATTAGAAACCACCACATAATTGGAGTTAATTTAGTTAAAATAAATTTGTTTTAAGAGTTGTTGCTTGGTATAAATTTTAAAACAATGTGTCCTAAAGATCCTATTACAATTGATCTTATAAAGGACATATATAAATCTCTTAAACTTCACGAGAATATAGAGTTTATGATTACAAGTGTTAAATAATGATGATTTTTGTAATTTTAATCTAGCGCAAACAATATTTTCTAGAAAATTCTGTAATGTCTTCAACATTGTACAATATTTCAATGTAATAAGCAATGATATTCTAAAACTTTATTATTTCCTTTTGTTAATGTGGATATATTTTGTAATGCATCAGTGTAGTTTTAAAACAATCGTTGTTTCTATGGGAAATATTTTTAATTTAATTCTGCCGATGATGTTGCAAAACTGTATAGATTTAGAAATAAATCTTATTTACAATTAATGTAGAATATTCACATTAAAATAATATTCTTTTAAAAATTAAATATACTAGATTAATTTTAGAATTTTTATTTGAACAAATAATTGTAGTAGTACAGTAGTATTATTACTGATAATATATTATTACTGATAATTTTGAAAGAAGAGCCTTGCTAATAAAACTCGACTTATTTAATATAAATTAATATAATATACCAAATGGATATTTCATATGCTAGATATATATTTTATTTTTCAAAATAATTAATGACTACTGTAATTCAACAATTGCGTTGCAAAGTTAAACATTGTACTTTATAGGGTCTATAGCATAGACGTTCAAAGTTTTAAAAATCCCCAAAATAGTGTTTTATAATA